CTTCATGGGCGAGTCCGACTCATACTTGGCCGCTTTTTTAAGCATATTACGAATGTGAGATTTGGCATTGTTAAAGTTTATATGGAGGAGTCGTGCAGAAAGCTTAAATTTAGGTTTATATGTATTTCAAATATAAAATGAAAAAACATTAATGTTTACGTCCATTCTATCAGTGTCAAATACCTGTGATTATGTATCCCTAACACCAACACTCTCGCACATAGCACAGATTAGAGATTGTCGCTATAGAGTTACACATTAAATAATAATGTGCATTTGTAAGGATAGATATACGTTTATACACTGAGAGTTCAAAATTAATACACAGCTTGCATAATACACAAACTTAAATTTAATGAATTACAGTTGAAATTCAACCATTAGGTAACATCTAGTTGAAGTCAAAGTTAAAGTTACAGCCTATATACGTCGCACTGTGCAAAGGCCTCCTCTCATTTCTGAGAGGGTTTTAAAGCAAGGAAGTGTTCGCCGCACTGCCCCAATTCGTGTTGCCGAACTTCACACGCCGTCGAAATATTTATTTTTCTCTTATTTTTCAGGCATGTGTGTTTCCTTCACCGCCGAGCACGTGATAAATCACAATTAAAATTGCAATTAACAATTTCATTGGTGCTTGCGGGGATCGAACCCGGCACGCGACTGTGAAATTTACAGTGAGCGCTAACGATCTTAGCTACCACAGCTAGTGTTTTAATTCTAACAACAAGTAGTTTTCGTAGTAAGTAAATCAATTAAAAAATATATTTAAGAAAAATGAACAAAAACACCTTGTCTTATTCACATGTGAATTTCAAGATTAAATTTTGGATACTTGAGCGGACTGTATGTATTCTGAAGATAAGAATTATCTTGAGCACCCCTCGCTTACGTGTTTTAATTATTCGAAATCACAATTATTAAATGAAACTAATTTTTACGGACATTATGCGTAGATTGAAATAAAAATAATATTAAAAACACTGAAGGTAGCCAGGCTAACTATGACATAGGGACGTCAAACACCGTCAAACAAATCAAACGTGCCTCCCGTGACCATGGGTGCTGTAAAGCACGCGAAACGTCGGAAATTAAAAATGCTAAATTAAACGCGATTGAGTCCGTAAAATTAGTTTCATGTAATGTGTAGTCTTCGCGTTAATATAAGAAATTATAACTGCATTTTGTATGGTGAGTGTAGAGAACCGAAGACCCATTTCACTAATAACTAGGCATTTCATCTTAGCCTTTAGGGGTAACAACGCATCTGCATTTTGATTATTAATGGATGACAGAAGGTGTAGATGTCACCATAATTGTATATTAAAAATTAAAATAACAATCTGTGCGCAAGTTTAACTGGTCACTATAACACAACAGGTCAGAACCAAGTCCGACTGTTGAACATTAGGCCTCGTCCTAAGTAACTTCTTATTCTTCGATACACTGTGTCTTGGTGAGGGATTCAGAATCTTTTTTTATAGTTTAAGAGTGATTACCTTTAGACTACCCTCGATTAAAAATCAAAATGCAGATGGGTTGTCTACGCTAGAGGACTAAGATTAAATGCCTCGTTTCCAGTGAAAAGGGTCTCCGGTTGTCTACACTCACCATTAGAAACACAGCAGCATTGAGCCACTATTTTACACTGGTGTGCTGTGAGAGCGTGGTTCTTCCCCGGCGAGCCATCCCAATTGTATTTCAAGCATAAAATAGCTGCAACGTGGCTCTACCTCACAAAATGTATTGTGTTAAAGTTATTTTAGTATTTTTTATAATTATTTGAATTCAGAATTTACTTTCTATTAAAGTATTATTTTTAATTTTGCTGCCCTTTATATCACTGAGCAACTGTTGCTATTGTATTAATATATCTTAACTTAAGATTTTTACTTTAAACCTCTAATATTATGAAGGGAATATGTTTTTAGTGTTTCGTATCATATAAACTTTTTTTTAATTCCTGCTGCAAAATACCAACTAGCAGCATTGGACTCAATGGAAAGACGTGCTAAGAGGCTCATAGGTAACTTTTTTATGGTTGAAAGTAATCTTGTCAGCATCGAGTACAGGCGCAGAGTAGGCAGCCTCTCGGTATTTTATAGGATACATTTTGAAGAGTGTACGCAGGAATTTTTTAATTCCTCCCTCTCCTTTCTACCATTCGACAGTGAGGCGGTCGGCGGTTGTTCACTCTTTTGCTGTTGATATTCCATAACATTAAGAACTAAACGGTTTGCTTCATCTTTCTTATTACGTACAACATAGGTGTGGAATAATTTGCCAGCGCGTGGCTTTCCATCCGAGTAAAATCTGGGCGCGTTTAAGGCAAGATTTAATAGGCTGTTATTACAATAAGACAGTGAGATTTACCTTTTAGGGCTTCATTACCACTTACCTCCAGTTTCCACCTGGAGAAAAGTGATAATGAAGCTTGTGGTTAAACACTGACTTATATTAATTTACTAAAAAAAAAAGAAAAAAATGGTAAGTAAATCTGGCAATGACGTAGCCATGACAGCTCCTAAGATAGCAGCAATATTAAATAGCAAACGTTCCGAAATTAATAACAACTTGTTATTTAATTATATTGGAAAAGAACTGTCTAAAATAATTTCCCAAGAGTAATAAAAAGATGTTTTTAATTAAAAAATAAGCTCCAGTTCACATAACTGGCTGGTTCAGCAGTCGTTGTTTGCTAATTCTGTTAGAAAGAACTATAAGTTTCACTTCAAATTTACATTAGAATTTTTATTGTAAATATAAAAAAAAAATTAAATAACCTGACCAAAACGTCTTTTCACGTTTATTGCTTTTAATTTATTAGCTTTTGTAACTTTATCAAAGAAAATGCTATGATTGATTATCTATGCGTCTACTCCTTTTGAATTATGATTGGGAATGTGATATTTTGGACTTTGAAAATATTAAAACAAAGAGCAATTGAGGAGTTTCTTAAATTAAATTTTTAAATTAAATTAGATTATAAAATATGGTGAAGTTTGAAACGACTTTTTAATTACCTACATTGAAAACTTAAAAGATTTTATTTAAACTTTTATTAGGTTTATTTTTTTGGTTTTAATCAAAATATAAATTTAATGTCTGTCATTTTGTCTATTACTTCATATAGAAACTTGACTACAATGCCATTAATCGGATCATAGCACAACTATGAACAATCGCCTCGATAAAAAAAGAAAATACGCGGGAATACGATATCAATCGCGGTCATTGTCAAGTCAAATATCGGGCTTTAAAATATACATGTAACAATTTTTGCTTTTTGGTTTTTCACACCTTGTACCTGTTTTGATGATTGCTGGACGAAGTTCTAACAAAAATCACTTTTTTTATAAAGAAATACGGGTAAAAACCGAGCACACAGTCCACCTGATGGTAAGTGAATGTTGTGGTCCGCAGATACCAACGTCTATTCTCAATTAATATTTTTAATGCATCTTTGAGTACTAAGATGGGACGCCTTGTCACTAGTACAAAGGCTATCCGGTTCTTGTATCTCACTGTACAAAGCACAGCAGTGCTATTCTGTTAATTTATTAATTCAAAAAAGCAGAATGAATAGCAACAGGAGAAAAGACCATCCAGCTTTGCATGGACCAACTTACCTGGCCCTAATAAAGCGAGTATAAAAAGAATTAGAAAGACCTATCTAGAAGTCTTGTGGTGGCATCGTTAGAGAAACAATCATCCCATTTCTTCCCGTGCGTTATTTTCATTTTATGGAAGATGAGGTAAACGACCATACGGCTAACCTTACCACGGAGAGTGCTCAAAGGAATTGTTCGGATTAATCCCAGCCGCCAAATTTCCAGAACGCACATCGCGGCAGAACTCCCCATACCATCCACACAATCTGGATGATTGGTGGTCCACCACTGTGCGATTTAGAAGATGTTTTCTTCCTCGCACAACTTTCTTGTGGAATCGATTACCATTAGCGATTTTTCCGGACCGATACGACTTAAGGACCTTCACTCCTTTTTAAAAGGCCGGCAACGCATCTTCAATTCTCCTGGTTCCCTTGGTGTTGATGTTGTTCATGGGCGGCGTTAGTCACTTACCATCAGGTGAGCCGCATGCTCGTTTGTACCTCTCCTATACATAAAAAAACCTGATGTTAAGTCATCACCGTCACTTATGAACATTTGTATCATCAGGGGATATGTGGGTAAGTTGCCGTGTAGCGACAATTAAAAACAAAAGAACCTAACCTAACAACAACGAAACAACAAAAATAGAACAAAAACGAATAATTTATTTGCTGATAGCGTGAAAATACGAAGTGAAAATGATTTGTTATTGTGTTCTTATGGTTTAAAAACGTTACAGGATCCTATGGAAATAAAGGTGATACAAAATATCCAGTTTTGAGGTTAATGCAGAAAATCAAAACAGAATGGAAAAATGAATTTAAAATAGTGTAAAATGATATGTAAGTAGCATAACACTACAAAGTTGCCAGCCTTTTAGAAAGGAGTAGGATCTTTTCATAAGTCGTGTCACTCCGGAAAAACCGCTTGCGACATTTAATTCCACAGTGTGGTCGTGCGAGCCAGAAAATTCAGGTAGTAGACAGCAAGCCATTGAGATGATGACGATGGAACTTCGGGTTCTGTAGCAATGTACGATGACGGAATACAGTAGCAGGAATTAATCTGAACAAAAACGTGTCGTAACAGGTGATCACGGGAAACCACGGAACGATCTTCTGGTATCCGATAGATGGCTGTAGAATCATCTTGTTAACACCAAACATAAATAAACCAATAAACAGCGACGAAGAGCAGTGATCAAAGTGCCAGACGTTAGGTGCTGCAATCGACAATCCGTCAGCAAAGCGTGGCGTTTAAGACAAACCCTCTCAGAGGATCCTTGTTCAGAAATTAATTTTATTTAAAAGCTATTAAATAGAGAAGAGAATAAGATCTTTATTCCATGTTGTTATTTATTTTTAATTTAATTAGCTTATAAAGCAATTATTAACAATACGTTAGTAACTCATCAACTGAGCACGGCTTATCGCAGCATTCCGCGACAATCTGCCGTTTGTTCCTGCTTAATCTCTTTGCTTTATGTAATGAAAGCCATGGCCTGTTACTTTCTCCTATAACGTAGTTGGATCTCTTTTCCTCCAAAGAATTATCACATAGGAATGCCAATGTTGTAGCCAGTCTTCTACCGCAGTAGGTTTGAACGTATTCTTCTTCACATTTGAAGACTTGGAGCAAACTTAACAAGACCAGAAAAGCTAGGGTTGACTTTAGCTTCATCATTCTTTTTTAAATAATTGTAAGCCAATGCTTGAGTAAAATCCCACCTGATGGAGAGCTGTGATGAAGTCCTGGATTGCACGGTCTTGGTGTAACCAAAACTATATTGTAATTGGATGGAAAAACTCACGCCGGCAAATTATTCCACCCTTTTGCTGTACGTATTTAGTAATGATTGTGTACTGTCATGTAGGCAATTTTGTGTTCTCTTTTATAGTAAAATTTTCGTATTAATATTCATTTATTCAGAACAAAGATAGACAATTTTGCAGGAATATGTGGGCTGCCGTGCGTAATATAGGTCAAAAGCATAATATATATTATACGCTCTTGAATGAAGCTAGTAATGTTAAAATTAGTGACAAAATATGCATAACTTAATTTTGGTTTTGTGTTAAATGATATTTATATAATACCCCACAATTTATATCTCGCTTGGTTAGTAAAAAAATCAATTATCATTACATAAAAATTTGTTTATTTTTATTCGTTGTACAGCCACGATGCAGCTGCATTATTGTTTTTGTACGAATACGTTCGCTCGGCTTGGGAAAACGCTCCCATAGAATACTAACCTTAAATAGTAGCATATTACTAATATGTTTCGTGTGGTGAGACGAGGAACGAAGACTCTTTTTACACTTGGTCATTAGAGGTGATAACCTATTTGCAATTTGATTCTTAATAGAGGATAGGTGTAGATGTCTATGGGCTGAAGCATCTGCAATTCCCCTTGTGTTGCAGTTGTTCAAGGTCGGCGGTGTGTGACTTTACCGCATACTTGAGTCGCATGCTCGTTTTTCCCCTCTCCTATAAAAAATCCGTTATAGAATAAGGGTGACAAACAAGCACATAGTCCATCTGATGGTAAGACCCAAAGAAATCTACATCTACCCTCGTTCAAGAATTAAATTCTAGATGCATTTTCACAACTGAGTACTAAGGTGTTTTTTTTTGCGTTGGTATTCTGTGACCTTTCATGGTAAAGTTTATATAACAATTGTCTGCTCTTATGGATTTCTATTGTTGGATATTCATTGAACACCTCGCGACTTTTCAAGGAGGTTTTAGAAGAAAAAGTATTCACAAATTCATTGCAAATTAGCCTAAATAATCTTCCATATGTACAACAATTATTTTATTATTTTTAATTTGAAGAATATTACTTTGTTTTATTAGCTTAGTTCAGTTTATTAAAAGCATAAAATTTTTACGTAACATATTATAAAAATTTTACTGAAATTTACTATTTTCTAATTATCAGAAATGACGTCATAAATATTAGGTTACGCTTTAGGAGTAGAATAATTGGCTTCTTTCAAAGAGATGGAACACAAGGCGTGACCGAACTATCTAATTACTCGCACACGTCCGCTTCGGGTTCGGCTATTAATTGTTTGCCTGAAAACATATTACTGATGCTCAATCTTCTATCAATTTTCATTGGGAATGATTGAGAGTTTACATGAAAAAAAAAACAAAGGAAATGTTATTTAGTTTATTTATTTATTTTTACCTGACTATGGCAAAAACTTAAATGGGATTATGTTTTAGTAAACTACTAGCTATGCATGTATGTGTTAGTAAATGTATGTATGTGTCTTGTTACAGTTTGAAGTCTCAGCGACCGCTACTTTATATCAGGTGGATTATCAGGTGGATTATCAGCTCGGTTCATAAGCTTTGTACATAAGCTTAGTTTCATTTACTGCTGAACATTAATATCGACCGATGCTGGTAGTTGCGGTGCTGGCCTTTTAAAAAGAAGTGATCACGATTGTTAAAGGACCCTAAGCCGAATTGGTTGGCCAAAGTAGCCGGTAGTATCTATTTCCACGAAGAGTTTTTGCAAGGTAAAAACTCCTAATAAATCAGTACAGTATTGAACTGCCAAGCATCCAGATGTTGTGGATGCGTGCGATGGTCGAATATGTCAACTGGAATTAATCAACACAATTCCTCTGAGTACTATCTAAGATGCAACATCTTTTCGCATCGTTGGTGAATTTAGCCGATTTGAAAAATATCAGTCGTCAATGATTCGAACCTCTCTGGGATTGATGAAATCAAGTGGAAGGAGATGCCTAAAGATGGGGTTTCCTAAGAATAGCCCAGCCCAGAGGACTGACAAACGGACAAAAATGTAACAAAATGTTTTTTTTAATTCAAAATATAAAACTGATATAAGTAGAAAAGAAAAAAAATTTAAGCCTTCAGCAGAAATGTCTTTTATCATAATTACAGCCTATCAAAGTACACAGTTAACAAAGATCTCCACACTGATTGCCTCATATAGGCGTTATTTCCCAAAATTGTCACGCTCGGTAGGCAGGTTGGCAAACGATGTTTTTTTTTTAATTTTTAGTAATTATTAAGAAGGCGCTCTGCCCATCTTCTGGGCCTCTAACAACACACATAGATGTCTCTCGAACTCAATAGAACGCACTTATTTAGATATTACAGCTATGCATACATGTAAATGATGTATTACGAGTAGTATTTATCTTAAAAACTTAAATAATGTATTTTTAAAAAACGACGCGATAAAAATACTACGTAATGTTTCATCTCAAGTTTTCTTTAGTGGCGATAGATCTGAGTTGATAGAAAATAAAATGTGTAGATATTTTATAAGAACAGTATTCAATAGTAACCTAAACATGCACCTTGTAAAGTAATAGAAAAAGAAAAATTTTATTCAATATAATATGTAGATTAAGAAATACTTATGTAAAGTCACTCTTAAGCTAACCACTGGTTCGAAAATACTAGAGGTATTTTCGTGGAAAGAACCAGCGAAAAAACCCCGAATTTTTTTTGAATAAAAAACAGTTTACTATAATTTATTCTGTTACACAATAATTACAACACAAAGTAAGTTAGAAATAAATTGGTTATGAACTCCTTCCAAGGGGTATTATCATCAATAAATTCCCTAATATTATAATAACCCTTTTTATACAATTTTTGTTTAATAAATTTGTCAAACTTAGCAGAAGTCAGATTTTGTATTATATTTTCGAGCATTTTGTGTTAGAGCCACGATACAGACATTATGATTGTAGCATGAATGGTTCGGCTCGACAATGCTCTCACAGAACATGAATGTAAGATTGCAGCTTAAGACTGCTGTCTATCATTGCGGTCTATCGGCAGCGAGGCGTTCCATCTTAGTCTTCAGGGGTTGCAACGCATCTGGATTTTGATTCTTAATCGAGGGTCAATGTTTATGGGCCACATATATGAGTCATAGTTTCCAATAACCATCGGGTGGACTGTGCACCCTTATACTATAAATGTAATTGTTGTGAAAGCGTATACATCGCTCCATGAATAAATAAGGGACTCCGTGAAGTCGAGTAAGTTGCAAGCGGCAGCCACACGGCTGAGAGAGCCAATTTAGCCTTTCTTTTTAAGTCTCTACAAAACTGAACGTCATTTCATTACGTTGACAATGAGTACTCACTGAGGCCTGAAAAGGAGTTCCTTTTTGGGGTTTCCTTTTTGAGGCGATCGCTACTAAGCTATTTCCAATTTGTATTTTGTCATTTATTATGTAAGATAATTTACGATCGTAAAATGTTATTTAAAAATAAACTCCACCGGGCTTCTTACTGTTTCTTTCTAGGACGAAGGTATTTTCCGAACCGGTGGCAAATTAAACATAAGAGTGACAAGTATTATTTATATTCTATATTTAATAAAAAAAAGTTTATGTTCCTGTTTAGCGGCAACTCGCGATATGTGTATTTTAAGTGTTAAACTCGACTAGATTCAGTATTTCTGTATCCCAGACATTATTTAACAATCAATCGACTTCAGATAAAGTCTGTTCTGATACTTGACATCATGTTTTCAAGAAATAGTGTCAATGTCAGTGTAAAAAGTGAGACCAGTGATGTCATCTTTTTCTTCAAAAGAGTGTTGGCACCTTTCTTGAAGAACAATACCACTGCAATTCTGTTTCACACCTTGTGAAGTCCGGGATAGTATCGGATGAGGCTTGCTGTTGGATATATTCTCACACTTACATGTTTTCCAAACGATATGAGGAGCTGTCTGTAAAACCTCTAAATTTCACCTCAAAATCTTTAGTATCTCGGAATTGATCTTACCACAGTCAATATTCAACAGTTGGTTCATGGCAGTTGACAGATCTCTGGTGTGTGTATGAGTGTTAAGGGACTTGGTTTCGCTCAATCTCTTCTTCAATATGAGCTGTATTAAATTAATGTAATTCGCACCTTATACAATTAAAAATCTGTCTGTTCAGTTGCCTGTTTGCTGTCATATAATAATAATAATAATTGTTTTATCATATATGTTGAAGACTGCAGCTTCATTTTCCGTCTTACAGCAACAAGATTATTTATTGTGATCAGGGATTTCTTTACTTAGTTCGCTTATTAGTTCGTTTTTAATATAATAGAACGGAGTAGATCCAATCAATGTTCTTAATTACTTCTAAAGTAAAATATAGTTAGTAATTCTAGTTTCATTATTCTATGTCATGAACTGAGTGATTTATGAAGTCACTATTTATAATGCCCAGTTAATATGAAAAAAGACAATTTTAATCGAACTACGTAATTAAAACTTTTCATTATAAGGCATTTTTCAAACTCCATAAAACTTAACGCTTGAGTAAGAAATGCTCCCTAAATCATTTTAGATATATCCAATTTGTAGTTTTGTTGTTCTAAAATGTTTCTTTCGTAATTGCTATAAGAACATATGGTATAATTCTAGATTAAGATAGCATATGTGTAATCAAGAACATACGATTGAAAAAGCCGGTGCGGGCAATCCCTTTTACTACGACGTTTCTGTATTGTTTCTAGTCAGGGATACGATTAAACGTGACCCAACAAGGGCCGGACAAAAAGAGGGACGCGTATAAATACGCTCGCCATCAGCTTCATTGTATGTACGTCGATTGATGAGGCTCAATTTGTTTGAGTGGCTCCTACGTGTTGTTCTTACTTCGTCGTATTATCGGTTTA